GTCTGTCCGTCTGTCCGTCTGTCCGTCTGTCCGTCTGTCCGTCTGTCTGTCTGTTTGTATGCAATCTAGTCTCTCAGTTTTCGAGATATCCGGATCAAATTTGGTAAGTGGGTGTATTTTTATAATGTATTAATCATTTGTCGGAACCGGAAGAATCGGACCACTATAACATATAGCTCCCATACAACTGATTGTTCAGATATGAGATTTTTCGTTATAACTTCTCCATTTATGCAGCTAGGAACATGAAATTTTGCAGTACTTGCACCTATTATCAACAGAATACTTACAGTGGAAATTACAAAGATCGGGTCACTATAACCTATAGCTCCCATACAACTGATTGTTCAGATATGAGATTTTTCGTTATAACTTCTACATTTATGCAGCTACGAACATGAAATTTTGCAGCACTTGCACCCATTATTAACAGAATGCTTACAGTGAAAATTACAAAGATCGGTTCACTATAACCTATAGCTCCCATACAACTGATTGTTCAGATATAAAATTTTTCGTTATAACTCCTCCATTTATATAGCTGGGAACAGGAAATTCCGCACTGTTTTCAATAATTATCAACAGAAAACTTACAGTGAAAATTAAAAAGATCGGATAACTATAACCTATAGCTCCCATACAACTGATTGTTCAGATATGAGATTTTTCGTTATAATTCATGCATTTATGCAGCTAGGAACATGAAATTTCGCACCATTTTCACTCATTATTAACAGAATACTTACAGTGAAAATAACAAGGATCGGGTGACTACAACATATATCTTCCATACATCTGATTGTTCAGATATGGGATTTTACTGTAAAACTCCTTTATTTGAACAGCTAAAACCGATAAATTTCGTAAGATATTTTATAAATAATAATACAAAGTCTACTGAGAAAATCGTCAAAATCTATGCTGTATAAGCTTTATCTCCTATAGCACTGATTGTTCAGATACCAGTTTTTGCGATATATCTCCTTTATGTAGGAAACTAAACCCAATAAATTGTGTCGGTTTACATACCGATCACATAGCAGTGAAAATCACTTAGATTGGTGCTAATATAAGGTATATCTTCCATACCTCTGTTTGTTCAGATGCGATTTTTTATATAGGTATGTAACTCCTCTATCGATGTATGCAGATGTATTCAAAAGCAGTAATCTGTCAAAGTAAAATTTGCAGATGTTCATGAAAGGTATGAAGCCTTCGGCATAGCCGAAGACAGCGCTGCTCTTACTTGTTTTTCTATTATAATATTTAAAAAATTTTCATTTAAACTTGACAGTGCAATGCAAAATTTGACGTTTCTATATTACAAACTACTGTTTTCTGTATATCATATGTATTTGGAAAACCATTGATTTCTTCTAAGAATGTTGTAAACTTTAATGCAGCTTTAATACTTAACGAATATGTAATATTCCTTCTGCACATAACATTTCGTGAATAAGTTTTAGCTTCTCTGTGTTTTGCTTCAAATCTGAAGTTCCAAAAGTGCTTTGGAGGACCAGTTTTTCTTATTACTTCTGGATAATGCGTCAGAAAATGAAATTTCGGTTTAAGCGGTTTCTTGAACAAACGAATATACTCTTCGTTATGCTTTTGTATAAGAATCGATAGGTTATTTATAATACTAGCGTCAAATTTACTTTGGACTAATATATCAACTATTTTTACCATATTAATAACGTATTTCCAGACAATATTATCGGCAGGCACTAATTCGCCAATTATTAATGTAATAAAATGCACTAAAGTCATCATTTAATCGATTTGCAAGAGAATTTCACAAATATTGTATCTACAAACACCTTTAAACCAGTCATGCATAATGTCTACAGCAAAATTATCAGTGACATGAAAATGCTTCAATTGATTAAATAAACAATTCGATTTAATACCTGTTAACTTAACATTATTTTGCAAAACCGAATCTTCATAATTTTCTACGCCCCTGGAATATTGAGGGTGAGCTATACTATCTTGCCATGTCCTCTTTCGAACGAATACAAAAGCGAAAATAAAAATTTGAGTTAAAAGATGTGGTAAATCCAAGTATATCGTTGAGTCCTAAATTATCGCCAAGAATATTAGCTAATAAAAAATAAACTTTTATACTTCCGGTTCTTGTATTTATATTCAAGCCGAGTTCTTGAAGGTTTTTAAAAGTATTTATTAGAGGTTGTAAAAATGGATCACTACCAAATTGTTTTTTATGAATACTTTTAAAATAGGCTGCCACAAATATATGGTCCAATTTTGATAGCAAATGCTGAGGAATTACAGGAAAAGTGTAATATACCCCGCATACATTATCAAAGTTGGCATGAGCGCCTAGTGGATTATTTACTTTAAATCCATCAACAAATATGTTGATTGGAATTACAATTTTGTTTTCGAAATTACACATTTTCTCTCTGAAAGATTCTGAGTTTATGTAATGCGTTATTTTTAAGTCACATTTAAGTCTTTCCATATTTTCTAGAGTTTCATCCAGAACATTAGGTAGTTCAAAAAATTTCTGAATTTGAAATTCAATAGGCATTAAGCATCCCTTAATATTAGAAGGCCCTAATGTTGGCCTTTTGTTTTTCTGAATTTCTGTGATTTCGTTATTTACGTTAAAAAGAATCGGTTTTGCAAAATTTTTACTTAAAAGAAGATTTTTAAAAAACTTGTGTTCCGTGTCTATATTGCGAAAAGGATTTGAGCAAAAATCTAGGAAATATTTGGTTTTTTTTAAGCTCTTCAGGTATGCTTTTTAAAAATATGTGCTTAAAAGCCTCTACAATGGCTGTATTTATAGTTTCTATATTTTCCTGTATAAACAAGGCATCTTTTCTACAGAAATTATCTTTTGCATAAAATTTAATCAAAACATCTTGAGAAATTTTTTGTAATATGACGTTCAAACTTAGAAAAAACTTCATCTTCATACAAAAAGTTTTCAACATCCTCTACGATACTTTTTTTAGAAATCTCTAAATTTTTTTCTGGCTCATTACAAGTGAAAATTTGTCTTTCAAAATTATTTTCGGATTTTTCCATATTGAACAAGTGTGTTTCACTTATTCCTAAGTTAACGTCTGATTGTTTTGTTTTGCTAACATTATTAGTCTTTTTAAAAGATTTTAAATTCAGATGCCTTTTAACATGTACCTTAAATCTTTTTAAGCTTGTGTACTCTTGATTACAATTATTGTGAGTACATCTATAGATATCTACTTCACTTAACCCATGATATGATACGAAATGAGAGTATAAAGCTGTCAAGATAACAAAATCTGTATAGCATTTAAAACACAACATTTTAGTCATTAAAACAAATCTGAAAATATGTTATTTGTTTACACATGGCTTCTTTACGTCATAAGGAGTAGAAATATCATAAAAGTAATGTTGAAGAAAACTCCACACGTGATGAGACTCATCAGGATATTTTAAAGAGAATATTTGATAAATTTTAAAGCAAATATCCAAAGATATTATAAATGAGCTGAATTTAAATTTTTGATAACGAAAGCTCACATAAAAATCAGTTAAACTCAATAGATCAGAGCCCACTACAATTGAAAAGGGCTGTATTGGCGTTTTCGATTCTATAGACTTATTTCTACGTAGTTCCATTTGATGTTGCAAATCATTTACACTGGTAATATGTAAAATAGAGCTGCTCACGGAATTTTGAATTGTTGCTTTACGATGTACTTTTAATTCGCCTTCTTTAATTATATACCGATGAGTTGGTTTTAAAATGGAGTGAAGCAGCATGAAATAAATGCAGTCTTTCGAATCTAATAAAATTAATCGATTACGTATATTTTTTACTATTAACCAAAAATTTCATTATATGAGACTTACTTGTGTCGGTTATGCCTTTTACAGATGTCAAAAGTTTTCTGGAGTATTTATCTTTTACGTGTTCCTCGTAGTAAACCGTAAGCTTTGGTAACGTTTCAGCCCATTTCGACGTAATCATAAATTGTTTTTCTGGGTATAATTCTTTAAAATCTGCTTCAATCTGAAATTTATGTTTTATTGTAAGTTAATACGGTGTTGATAATACAAAAAAAAAAAATACAAATATGTACACTAGTTTACACGATAAATTAGCCTCCTTAAAGCTTACATTTTAGACTTGAATTTAAGTCGCTGAGCACGTCTATGGGTTTTTTAAATGTTCTTGATCGCTGTAAACTAGTGTTATTAATATCAAACAAAACTATAGTGTGTATCACAATTATTAGCCACCCACATATTGACAAGCTTTGACTTTGTTAAAATTTGTTAGTATTACACAAAGTTTGAAACTGTAACTTTATGTTAAAGAATAAACTTTGGTATAATAAAAAAATAACTAATTAATAGGTGGGTGGTATATATGTAATTGTTATATACACTATAGCTTACAAATTTGTATCCCATGGCTTGCTTGTATAGAGGAAACTCTTCAATAACAGACTCAAATGATACTGCACGCTTAATGAAATGTTTGCCAAATGATACCAAAAAGACTATACAGGTCTCAATTTGATATTGTTAAGGGTAAAACTTATGTTTTTCCTCATAAAATTAATAGCCAAAATACAAATCTAATATTTTTCAATATACTTTTTATATTATTTATGGTTATATTGATACCGGAAAAGTGATACTGTTTAAAGTTTCATTTTAACCCAACGTGTATTAAACTGATAGTGATACTTTTTTTTTTGAGTGCACTACACCACAGCGGCCGCCGGAAGAGTTTATAAGTCTATTTATTTTGATTATTTTTGTTTATCGGTCTTTAAATTGTAAACTGATGTAATTTTTATTTTTTAAGCTCGAGGTTTTAGTTCTTTAATACTCTCTTAGGAACTCTTAGTTGTCGGTCGACCGGGACCTCAGATTGGGGTCGAAATATCGATATTAAAAATTAAAGAACTACAACCTGTGTTTTATGTATGCTACTTATTTTGTTAAAAATTGTCTATGTTACAACTTTTCTATAAAAGCGATAAATGCATTAACATTTTTTTTATCTAAGATTAACAAAGTTGTGGAAACTACCGTATCTGATTTAAAATTGTCTTGGATGGCATGGAAAAAAATAATTATTCAGAAAGGATTAAAAAGAAAACACACAACAAGGTACTTAAGATGAGCTTTTGTATATTTCAAGTATTTGTAGTAAAGTTAAATAAATATTATTTGCGACGATAATACAAAGATTTTCCGGTGAAAAATGTTAGCGTAGGATGATTTTTGACCTAGTTAGAATTTTTAATAATAATCTAGTTTTATTTTTTAATCCTGCAATAAAAGATCCCAATTTTAGCTCAAACAGTTGTTTATGATGACAGAATAAGAATACGAAGAAAAAATTTATGAACAAAGCCGTTTGGTTAAACCTTGCCCAAGGGAACCGTACGTGTTACGTTGCCAGTGCCCAAATTTGATCAGCAAAAATTGTCAAAAACCTAAAATTTACAACAAATGGGTAAGCAGATGACCACCTGCATTCATTGTAGATGACATACTGAAAAGCTAGCAATATCGCTCACCCGTTTCGCAGAAATTTCAAACTTTCTGACACAGCCCATCATTAAACTTCCAAATAGTGTAACGTAGCCAGTGCACATTCGAATGCTTATAACTTTGACACCCAAGGATTTATTAAAACCTCTCTTTTACATACATACATAGATTGGACCGTGCCTGATCATATCACCTAAAAAGCCCACTTGATTTTGTGTTATTTAGTGGACAATTGATTTATGCTTTAGAAAAAATGTGTACGAATGTAACGTAGCCAGTCAAATAATCGGCCATATGATAGTTTTGCGTAAAGGGGTCGATATGAAAAACTTGTACTTTGAATCCTTGACTATTTTCTCTTTTCGAGTTTTTTATTCACAAAACTTTACTCTCTATAGTTGTAGTAACATTGAACCACAAGATGCATTTGGAATTTTTATGGTAGCATTTTCATTAGATTTTTGCAAAAGCATGGCGCCGAACTTAAATATGAAACGATTAAAACTTTCATATTCCTAGAAATAAGGCCTTTTCCCTTGCCTCTTACAATTATAGGTAGAAAAAAAGGCAAAAAAAGCAACATCAAATGAGTATATATGGATTCAGGGAAAGCTAAATTGTGGACATTCTTAATCGAATATACTCTATCCCTTTAGCAGGCAAAAGGCAATTTCCATAAAATCCGTTCCCTGCTTATGAAGTATCATTGGTAAGGTATTTTGTGACCGTTTTAATTTCTTTGCAAATAAGCTCATTCAAAGTATGAGGAGGAAGGTAAGATAAACGAGTGTCATTCCGTGTTGAATTAAGATGTATTGGTATTGAATAAAGAAAAACTTGGGACGTGAATGAGAAAAGGGACGTGAAAGAAATAAAAAGGGTGAGAAAATACCTTTCCACTGATACCTCATACGTCTATATCGGCAAAATTTTGGAGCAGTTATCAATTTTTTCTTACACAAATCTTTGAAAAAGTTAAAAAACAGTGTCAAAAATCTCATTTTCATGATTCCGTTGATACAATTCTTTAATATTTTTTATGTAGATTTTTTAAGCTTAAACTGTTTTGTAATCTGAGGCGATTTTTTCTAAAAAAATCCTTTAAGAAACTATTTTTATTCATAAAAAACTAATTTTTTTAGAGGTATTTTCAAACCGGTCCAGCTCACATAAATCTTAATATTTTTCCGAAATATTTTGGTAGAAGTCTTAAAATATACTAGATTTGGTAATCCCGCCGGAAAACCGCAACTTTTTTTGGTGAAGCAGACTAATGTACAGTAGTCGAAAAAATTATAGCCGTTCCAAATTTTGAATTTTGAATTTTTTTTGGTTAATTTTTTATTGTTCATTCTTTGACAACACCCGTATAAATACAAGTTTAAAGGCAGTTTCACACGATTGGGTATTTGCCAAAACTTGGTGTCGTATCCCAATTGTTTGAATACCCATATATTTTTCTTTATCCCAATCACGAAAATTAATTTGTTGAAATTTTTCAATAGAACATCGCTGTATTTGATCAATATTTTGACTACAAAAAAAATATTTCCATTTTTTATACCTTTCATGAGCATGAAATGGTATTATAACTTTGGTCCGATGTTTGTAAATACCAGAATAAAAAGAGATAGACCCATTAAAATGTATACTTATATGATCAGAACGTCGAGCTGAGTCGATTTAGCCATGTCCGTCTGTCCGTCTGTTTGTATGCAATCTAGTCTCTCCGTTTTCGAGATATCGGGATAAAATTTGGTAGGTGGGTGTATTTTATAATGTATTAATCATTTGTCGGAACCGGAGGAATCGGACCACTATAACATATAGTTCCCATACAACTGATTGTTCAGATATGAGATTTTTCGTTATAACTTCTCCATTTATGCAGCTAGGAACATGAAATTTTGCAGTACTTGCACCCATTATCAACAGAATACTTACAGTGAAAATTACAAAGATCAGGTCACTATAACCTATAACTCCCATACAACTGATTGTTCAGATATAAAATTTTTCGTTATTACTCCGCCATTTATAAAGCTAGGAACATGAAATTCCGCACTGTTTTCAATAATTACCAACAGAAAACTTACAGTGAAAATTAAAAAGATGGGGTAACTATAACCTATAGCTCCCATACAACTGATTGTTCAGATATGAGATTTTTCGTTATAACTCCTCCATTTATGTAGCTAGCCATGAAATTTCGCGCTGTTTTCACTCATTATCAACAGAAGACTTACAGTGAAAATAACAAAGATCGGGTTACTATAACCTGCGACCCCCATACAACTGATTGTTCAGATATGAGGTCTTTTATCATAACTCCTCCATTTATGCAACTAGGAACATGAAATTTCGCACCATTTTCACTCATTATTAACAGAATACTTACAGTGAAAATAATAAGGATCGGGTGACTATAACATATATGTATCTTCCATACATCTGATTGTTCAGATATGGGATTTTACTGTAAAACTCCTTTATTTGAACAGGTAAAACCGATAAATTTGGTAAGATATTTGATAAATAATAATACAAAGTCTACTGAGAAAATCATCAAAATCTATGCTGAATAAGCTTTATCTCCTATACCACTGATTGTTCAGATACCAGTTTTTGCGATATATCTCCTTTATGTAGGAAACTAAACCCAATAAATTGTGTTACCGGTTTACATACCGATCACATAGCAGTGAAAATCACTTAGATTGGTGCTAATATAAGGTATATCTTCCATACCTCTGATTGTTCAGATGCGATTTTTTATATAGGTATGTAACTCCTCTATCGATGTATGCAGATGTATTCAAAAGCAGTAATCTGTCAAAGTAAAATTTACAGATGTTCATGAAAGGTATGAAGCCTTCGTCATAGCCGAAAACAGCGCTGCTCTTACTTGTTTTATTTTGTACCAATCTGTACAAATGTACCAATCGAATGCCACTGCCTTAAAAATTTATGCAATTAAAAAAAAAAATATCAACAAATTTTCGTAAAAATGTCGAGTTTTTTAATTAGATTCGAAGTATGCAGTTTTGTAGCCCATTGAATTCTAGTAGAATAAAGTACAAGTTTCAAATGGCTAAAAACTACAATGGATTTTTTAGAATTTATTGTTTGTTGTTGCAGAATACCTACAACCAATCCACAAGAAAGGGGACCCCGGCATTCGCGCCAACTACCGCGGGATCAGCCTTCTAAGCATAGTCTACAAGGTATTTTCAAGTGTATTGTGTGATAGATTGAAGCCCACCATCAACGAACTGATAGGACCTTATTAGTGTGGCTTTGGACCTGGAAAATCCACCATAGATCAGGTATTCACAATACGTCAAATTTTTGAAAAGACCAGCGAGAATAGGAGCGACACATACCACCTATTTGTCGATTTCAGAGCCGCTTTCGACGGCACGAAAAGAAGTTGTCCTTATGCTGCGATGTCTGAATTTGGTATCCCCGCGAAACTAATACGGCTGTGTAAAATGCCGTTGAGCAATACCATCAGCTCTGTCAGAATTAGGCAGGATCTCTCCGAGC